TTGGGTTTTCCAAGAAAATTACCAAAAAAGGAAATTTTTAGGGAATTTTTTGATCAGCGGAAAGAGTTTTTTTTTTTTTCCCAAAAAAAATATATTCTTCATTTATAATATATATTTAATATATATATAATTATTCATAAAATTTATAATATATTTTTTAAAATAGTTTTTTTAAACTTTAAAATAAAATTTTATAATAAATTTATTAATAAATTATCAAATAAACTTTAATAAATAATTTTTTAGATTCTAAAAAATATATTTAAAAAATTTTTTTATATTAACAAAATTTTTAATCAAATTGTAATTAATTAAAATTTTTGAAAAACAAGTATTCTATACTGTATAATAATTTTTTTAAATCAAATTTCTATCAAATTTTGTTAAATTATTTTTTTAGAATATATTTTTTAAATTGTAGCAAATAGTTTAATATAGTTATATCAATTTTAATATATATTTTATTTATTAAAATATTAATTTTTATACTATAGATTTATTGCATAATCTTTTTTTTTTAATATTTTAATATAATAATTAATAAAGTAATTAACTTGTCTATAGTTGACAATAAATTTAGAAGTTAAAATTAATATATAAATTTATAAAAAATGTAATATTGTTTTTAAAGGTTAAATTTAAAGATCACTTAAAAATTTCCTTAATTGTTAAGTAACTAAATTTATAGGTTGTTATACACATAATATTCCGGATTTTTAATCATTTGATTAAATCAATATAACCTAAAAAAAAGTCATGTTATTTTATAAATATATTTTAGTATAATATAGCTTTAAATTATTAAACAATATTTATTATCAACCCACATTATATTATGGTATAAGAAAAATTAGATCGACAATACGTAATACAGAATATAAGCCACTATTAAACTTATTCGTAATGTATTTTTGAGATTGATTGCTGGAAGATTTGAGGCAATCCTACTAAATGATTAAATGCCTTGAGTTTTTTTCTGGAATAGGTGGATTGGTAAGAATTTAAACAGATTTTTAATTTAATAATATAAGCATGTTGAGAACTAACTTTTATATAAATATTATAATAAAAAGCACTATGCATTCAACCAAGCTTGCCCTAACGGTGAGGTTGTGGCTAGTTTTGATATAAACCTTGTAGCCAATTCCGTATATATACATAACTTTGGTAAAGCACCAATAACGGTAATTTAAATATACTGTATTAAGTTATACGAAATTTCTGCCACATTTACCTCTTAAATGTTATATTTATATTTATAAAGAAGAGCATTGATTCATTAAGCACTAATGATATCGAGGAGTACAATGCAAATTGTTGGCTGATGAGTCCACCATGTCAACCTTATACGAGGGGAGGCAAAGGATTAGACGATCAGGATCAAAGAGCGAAAGGATTGCTTCATTTAATTCATGTTTTGTCCGAATTATCGATTCCTCCGGAATACATTTTTCTTGAGAATGTTTTAAATTTTGAGGCAATATAATTTTACTTTATATTCATACATTTTGATTTTAAGTCAATATCTTTTTGAAAATTATTATCTGTTTCTTAAACAGAAATCGAGATCTCGTGAAAAATTAGTAGCTCAGCTGTGTAAAGCGAATTATGAAATTCACGAGTGTTTATTAACACCTTTGCAATTTGGGATTCCGAATGATCGTTTAAGGTATTATTTGATGGCTAGAAGAAAGTTGAGTTCAGGCATTTCAAACATAATGAGTCCTGAGGAATATCTGAGAAAAGCAATTATACATAGAATATGGCCATTTCAATGTATGCAAAAAGATAATTATGTAAAATGTTATCACCGAATTTGGCCGGAAGTTGGTGAAGCTCTACCATTTTCAATCAAACCGTTAGGAGTTTATTTGGAAGATTTTTTCGATGAAAATGAATTTAAAAAATACATCGTACCTGAAAAAAATATTTTGAAAAGCTTTAATTTTAGATTTGGTAAGTGTAATAATTTTAATATTCGCACATTATAAAATTATTATTTTTAATAGAGCCTCCTAAAGATATAGTGAGACCGACGGATAAAAAATGCTCATGCTTCACCAAGGTATTTATAGCTAGAGAATATTTCACAATCAAATTATTCTTTAGCTAATTTTGTGTCGTCTTAATTAGTCCTACGGTAGTCATCATATATTTGGAAGCGGGTCACTAATTCAAACAAAAAAATTAGAGGTTTGGATAATATTTAGTCAAGTATATCTAATTCTAACTAATTCTTAATTGATTTGCAATCTTTTTAAACAAATAGTTTGTGGAATACGATTTTGAAAATCCAAGATCATTACTTGAACTTGGTCTTAGATATTTTACTCCTTTAGAAGTGGCCAGATTGCATGCATTTCCTTTAAAACATCAGAAGGTAGAGAATGTTGAAGAAACCTTAAATATAAAAAATGATAAAGTTTTACAAGATTCCAATGACCCCGCAAGACCATATGATCCCACCCGCAAAATCAAAACGTTTGCATATTTCGAGTTTCCCGATAACATTAGCATTATTCAAAGACATAGATTGTTGGGAAACAGTTTAAACGTTTGTGTGGTTTCCGAATTATTAAGGTGTGTATTATTTGATACAAGTATAAAATATTTATGAAATAAAGCGTACATTTTACATAGTTACAAACTTTCATATTATTTACGAATTTCTTAATTCATTTTGCATTGTGCAACATTGTATTAAGCCTTTACTAAAAAACCTGTTTTATTTTCGCGTGTGTATTTTTCTAATACGGGCATAATTTATCCTATCCAAGTCACCTTTCTTACTTACTAGACTCTTGCATACCAATTTCGATTTTAAATGCACAAATCAATAAACATGGTAGCAAATATTCATAAATATAAACTTTTTTTTAAAAAAAAAACCTTTAAATGGGTTCATTTAGTATGCCAAGGTTATATTAATAATTCTATAATAAATGTTTAAAAAAGTAAATTTTGTCTTGTTTATAAAGGCTATATATTTTAATGAATAATTATTTTATATTATATCGTATTTAATTCATTCAAAATTGATAATTATATTCAAGTTGCAATAATATAAAAAAAAATAGAAAATAGTTTCTAGAATATAATAGATATTGTGGTATCAATCAAATTTAATATCTTTATATTTTTATCAAATATAGATAATATTATTATATAGTGATTTAAACCCATGGTTAGGCCAGCACTGTATATTTACTAATCAATATGAAAACCAATAGAGATATATATGACAATTGCATCATGACTAATTAAAAATCATGCTAACTCACTTGTCAATGGCTTTCAATTATCAAAAGAGCTTCAGTCTCTAAGTGCTACCTTGAGAACAATATTTTGTTTCATAGTAGATTTTGAATAAATATCCTCTTAATTTACACATCATTGTCAGCAGGTTGTCACTACTTATTATCCTCCAAGGAACTAATTTTAAAAACTAAAAAAGGGGAAAGGAAAAATAAAATGAAAAGGTATATTTAAAAATATGCAATTGTACTTATATGAAAATAAAAAAAAAAATACTCGATATTCTCCAAAGAACCTTTATTAGAAACCTTTTCTTATTAGAAGTCAATCCTTCTATGATATCTTTCTTCTTCTTAACTATTTGAAGAACTTATTCATTCATTTTTTTGATTATTTTCTTGTGATTATCTAAAATACTTATCATCTACTTAAATCCAGTGTCTTGCTCAATGCTTTTTTTCTTTAGATCATGATTTTATATTCACTTGCATAAAACAAAACACTAATAGTAAATCTCAAATTCTTATATAGCTTTTCAATCTTATTGTATAACTTCTAATATCTTCCAACAACTATACCTAGTTAAAGAAATTTTATTAGTATGTATCTTAATTGTGATATTATTATACAACATTTGAAGAAATGTATTCTTAATCTTAAAAAAGATCAGTATCTTATTTTTTTTTGCTTTTCAGTCTTACAGCCTAATTGGAATAAGAAAATAACTTTCTTTATATACTTTGTTTAATCAAGATAATAAAAAGTTGAAAATCTAGACTTAAACAAATAATTACTTTTTTATCATCTAAGAATTTAGTACCTATCCTAATAGTCTCATAATTTCTTCACTTCAGTTGCACTTCATTTGGAAGAATAAAGAAGTCCATATCCATAAGTTCTTTTTCTTTAGCAATGATATTATTAGAATATATGATATAATTAGTAAGAGTTTATTTACATTCTGTTACCAACATATTTCATGTTGATCAATTACTTTTAATAAAAGCTATATTAATTTTATATTACTTCAAAATTTAGGATCAAATGAGATAAGTAAAATTTCTCAAAAACTCTAAAAAATGAGTAACTCTAAGAAGGTAAAAATAATAGAAAGAAAAGTTTTCAGATTTAAACTTTTGCTTACCTGTTTATCCACTGTATAAGATTTTTAGTTACATTTTTACTTCAGAAAATAGGTTTTTGGTATTTTACTATTGATTTTTCTTTCTTTTAAAATTTTTTTGCTATAGGTAAAAAAGGTATTTCTTGACTTTACTAGGTTACTGAAAAACAAGATTTTGTTTAAAAAGAAATATAAACAAAGAAAAAAGTTGGAAGAGGCTTTTGAAATTATTTTTTAAGTTGTTTTAAAAAAAGTAATAAGACTTTATTAGTATAAAAATATAAAATTTTTGCAAATATCTTTTTTATGTGTTATTAAGAAATCAATGAAAAGGGTTTTTTTAATTAATAATAAACTATAATAATTTAAAATAATAATTTCTTTATTTATTAAATAATTATATATATATATATTGTCATAAATTATATAGATAATGCGATTTATGCATAATGATCTAAAATCTAAAAACCTGAAAATATGGCATAAAAGATTGAGTGTTGCAAGGTAAAAAACCATAGATAAGGCTCAGGTACTAATATAAGAACTATGTGTATCTGACAAAATATGGAAAATTTAGCAAAATTTAAGATTAGCATAGTCAATTATAAAGTAAATAGTCCATTGTTAGTTAGAAAAGTATAAATAGCTTATCAATATATGTCAAGAAGGTAGTACTGAATATGTTAGAAAACAGCTCTCATTGAGAATAGAAATAAGAGTTAATGATACAGTATATCAAAGAAATAGAACGTAAATAAAGAAACACTTACCTTTGGTCAAGTCAATCATCATATCTCGGCCTTTTCTAAATATTCTTTATAGGAGTCATTCTCTTTTTTGTATCAGTTATAAGTATTTGTAAGTTATTTGAATTATGTGAGGCACTACAGATTAGTGATAGACTTATTAGATTAGCCCATAACAATATATATTTAAATACTAGCTTATTGTTATACCATAACAAGTATTTTATTATAATAAAAATAATATATAGGAACAATCATAATAAATAATTATCTATACTATCTAAGAATTTACAGATCCCAAAAATAGTATAAAAAGTAAATTATTTATATCTTATCTAATCAAAATAGGATAACTATATAACTGTCTGATATAAATACTTCTCTTTTCTATAATAAATCAACTAAAAAAAAAAATTTAGATCTAAATATAACATAACATTCTTTAGGACATGAGCTTACTAGGTAGGTTATTATTATTTCTTAAAGAAAGAAGCTAATATATCAAAACTCAAAAATGGATTTATAAAGAGAAAGACAAAATCAAAAGTCAAATGTTCTATACTAGGAAACATTAAAATTTTTAAATTAACAACTATAAAAAAACTATTCACAATTGTTTTCTATTATTCAAATTATTGATTTATAGTATTTTTTGTTATTGTTTCTATTAAAGTAAAGAATTATAAATTTGGTTTTTTAAAAAGAAATATAAATGCTTTGCAAAATTTTATATGCTAAATACTTTAAGGACTTATTATTACCAAAAATTTATTTAAAGTATCTAATATAACTAAAGTTAAAGATCCCTTATATAAAACTTTAACTTTATTAATACTAAAATTAAAAATTTTTAAAGAGAAGAAGAAAAGATATATAGATATTATTACAAGAATATTAGTTATTAACTGGCTATATTATTAGTTTATAATAAAAAAGTAAATATATCAAAATCCTCAAAAGAATAATATTTAGATTTTTAGATTATAATAATTGAATAGAAGAAAAAAGTAAGATCTTTATTAATTATTCAATATGTTTTTTTTTAATAATTACTTTATAGAATATTATATATTTTATATATATTTATATAAATATACAAGTAACTAATAATGGATTTTAAATTCTTATAGATATTGGAAAAATATATTAGTATAAAGTGATCAATAGAAGCTTGTTTATTATTTTACTAATATAAATTCTATTTGTTTAATTATAATTTGAAAAACTATATACTTTTCAAAATTCAGGATCAAATTGAAGTAAATAAAATTTTTCAAAAAATTCTAGAAATGAGTACTATTAAAATGCAAACAATAACAAAAAAATAGAAAAGTTGTTTATTATTATCAATATCATTTTGTA